GGACAAGAATCTGATTGGAAAATTTAATTTTCATTCTGGTTGCATCAGACTGCATTAACTTTCTCTCAAAAGATGACTCTAAGGGTCATAGTTTGTCTATAAAGAATAAACCTAAGAAATTAAAACCATTGATAAAAAAGCCAACAGGAATAGCTAACTCAGTTTATCCCAACAGAGTTAATTAAGGTTCCGCATAGTGTTCTGTTTTTACAATTCATCTTTTCTTCTACAGGTAGTCCTTGACTTACAACCATTTATTTAACGGTGATTCAAAGTTACAACACTGAAAAAACTGACTTACATTAGTCCTTGCTCTTACGGCTGTTGAAGCATCCCCATGCTCAAGTGATCAGAATTTGGACTTTTGGCAACTAGCATGTATTTACAGCAGCTGCAGTGTCCTGGGTTCATGTAATCACCATTTGCAGCCTTCCCAGCTGGCTTCCAACAAGCAAAGTTAACGGGGGAAGCTGGATTACTTAACAATCATGTGATTCACTTAACAACTGCAGTGATTTGCTTAACTGTGACTGCTGCTTACCCCAGTAGTCATGTAATCGCATTTTGGGTGATGGCAACTGAGTCACATTTATGACCGATTATGGTATCCTGTGGTCATGTGATCACATATTGCAACATTTGATGCCATTTCCAGCAAAAAAAATCCCATTGGATTAGCTGGATATGATTTATGACCATGAGATTTGCTTATAGACTACTTGATTCACTAATGACTGCAGTGAGTCACCTAACCAGCATTATAAAAGTTATAAACTCAAGTTTGGTCACATGGTTGCTCAACTTACAACTGCAATGATTTACAACCAAAATTCTGGACTCAATTGTGGTCATAAATCAAGGACTTCCTATAAATGTTTTAAGACTTGTAACTTAATGCACATATTTGTATCTCATTCTATAAAAAACACAAACACCTCAGGCCACAAAATGCACCTCTGTTCCTTGCTGGCTTTGTGTAATTATTCTGTCAGCATTACTTGGAGATAAAGAAAAGAAAGACTTGAGGAAAGTTTGGCCTCCTAAAGCAGAAAGTTTGCTTTCTACGACTGCTTGATTTGGTTTTCCTCATGAGGTTTTGCTCCATAATATCATACAATTGTCCTAAAGATAGTTGGGTTAACATTATGATTCTTTGATTTTTAGAATCCATATTTCAAAATTGGAAAAAAGTCACATGGGTCATTGAATCCCATCCCCTATTCAGTGCAGAATCCAAATTAAAACATCCCAGGTAGCTATCTATCCTCAGCTTAAAATTTATCCAACAAACAATGGCCTAGATCTTTGCGTAATTGGTTTCGTTATTGAGCTGTGCTTACCTTTAGGATTATCTGTGACTGGATTTTTTTTTTTTATGAGACCAACCAGATTCTATCTTAGATTTGGAATTAGTTGAAGGAGCTGCTACCACTGAAGCCATATTATGACTTTTCATACTGTTTAAGTGATTTTGGTTTAATTACTACCCCATCTAGAATACATATTCAGTATGCTGAGAATTGTAAACTAACATACTTGAAAGATGCCAGTATTTCATTTAGCTTGCTGCTGTTAGAGCAGGGGTGTCAAATTGCCGGCCCGTCGGCTGGATGCATCACGCAGAAGCCATGCCCACCCCATTGCCGTCAATGGCAGAACTGTCCCGATACGTTGTGCGATGTCACATGATGTCGCGAGTTTGACATGTCTATGTTAGGAAATCCATGCTTTCTTTCTTCATACTTAGGTAATGTACCCAGCTGCCTTGAAGCCTTTCTTTCTTCGATCTCAATGCTCTCTACTCAGGGTAGGAGCTAGCTGGTAATTGAGCCAGTTGTCAGTTTAAAATTACTTTTCTTCTAGTCTGTTCTGATTTAGCTTCTTCTGGAGGAGGTTGTTGGCTGAACTTTGAACTAGAACACTCCTGTTAGAGATGTTGAATCCTCAACAGTTGTTGTGAAAGTCTTGATAAAATGCTACTGCGCTATAAAAGCAGAGGTGCTGAGTAGCTTTAGAGATTATCTTTTAATATTTTATTAAATAATAGTAATAATATATTACGTGTATATGCTATCTGACTCCCAGTGAGTATTTTTATAATAAAAATATATTATTATAAAATGTATATCTTTTTTATAAAATTACCGGTATATTTAAAACATTGCTTACCAAATTTAATGCACCTATCTAATTTAGTTACAAGTCAGTTTAAATGTAAAATAATAAATATGGTCAATTTACATGCAAAATATTAAAAAAAAGCATTTTTTATAATTTTGACAAGGAAATAGAGATAATCCATCCTTCCATCCATATGGCAAGGAATATAAGCTTGTGAGCAGCAACCAGTAAAAACATAGAACCTGGAATAACAGAGTTGGAAGGGGCCTTGGAACTCTTATAGTCCAAGCCCCTGCTCGAGCAGGAGACCCTATACCAAGGGTAGGCAACCTTGGCTCTTTTATNTCCCAGAATTCCTGAGGCAGCATAGTTGAAGTCCATGAGTCATAAAAAAGCCAAGGTTGCCTACCCCTGCCCTATACCATTCTGGAAAATGGTTGTCCAATCTCTTCTTGAAAACCTCCAGTGATGGAGCACCCTCAGTTTCTGGAGACAAGCTTAATTATTTTCACTGTCAGGAAACATCCCCTTTATTCTAAATCGGGTCTCTGATAATCTTCTACCTATTACTTCTTGTCCTGCTCTCAAGTGCTTTGGAGAATAGGTCAACTCTCTTCTCTGTGACAGCCCCTCAAGCATTGGAAGACTGCTATCATGTCACCATATCCAACTTTTTGGATAAAGTATTACCCTATTTTTTTAAAGGCTCAGAACTATAACTGAAAATATACCTACAGTTGATTATGTTCTTATTCTCAGATGAGTCAGATAATAGCTGGAGATCAGGAATGCTTTTGCACTCAGTATCACTTGTTCACCATTTCAATGTCATGTCACCAGTAGTTGCTCTCTTCCTTAGATTAGACCAGGGGTAGGCAACCTTGGCTCTTTTATGACTCATGGACTTCAACTTCCAGAATTCCTGAGCCAGCATGGCTTAGCTTGGAAACCTCTTCCTTTCCCCTCAGCATGGCTGGCTCAGGAGTTCTGGGAGTTGAAGTCCACAAGTCATAAAAGAGCCAAGGCTGCCTACCCCTGGACTAGACATATCTTGTTCCTGCAGCCATTCATCATACAGTTTAGCTTCCATACTCCTTATCCTTGTTGCTTTTCTCTGCACTCTTTCTAGAATCTCAACATCTTTTTTGTATTGTAGTAACTAGAACTGGATCCAGTACTTCAAGTGTGGGCTTGCTTACTAAAGCGGTACTATTATTTCAAGTGATCTTGACACTATCTCTCTGTTGATGCAGCCTAGGATTGCATTGGCTTTTTTGGAGCTGCAGCACACTGCTGGTTCTTATTTAAGTGGTTGTCCGCTAGGACACCAAGATGCTTCTCACAGTCACTACTGTTGAGCCAGATACCACCCGTTTTATACTGTGCATTTGCCTTTTCTTGCCTAAGTGTAAGACCTTTTCTCACCACTGAATTGCATTTTGTTGAATGTTAAAATCCTTCTGCATTTGAACATCTCTTCTATTCTCCCAGCTTGGTGTCATCTGCAAATTTGATGACTTCCTCCCCTATCCCCTTATCTAAATCATTTTTGAAGGTGTTAAAGAATACTGGGCTTAAGACAGAACCTTGTGGTACCCCACTGCATGCTTTCCTCTATGTAGATGTAGTTCCATTAAGAACTACATGTTCAGTGTGGTTGATCAGCCAATTGCTAATCCAACTGGTGATGATACTGTCTATCATTTTTCTATCTTACCAAGAAGCAGACTGTGGTCTTCTTTGTCAAATGCTTATTGAAGTCTAAGTAAACCACTTCCTCAGTATTTCCCTGATCCACTAATTTAATCATTTTGTCAAAAAAAGCAATAAGGTTTGCCTGGCATGATCAGTTTTTAACAAATCCATGTTGACTTCTAGTAATAGCTTTGTTTGTTTTTAGATGCTTGCAAATCTGTTGCTTGATAATCTTTTCCAGGATTTTCCAGGTATTGATGTCAGGTCAATTGGTTTATACTTTTCCGGATCCATTTTTTTCCCTTTTTGAAGATTGGAACCACATCAGCTTTTTTCAAGCCTCTGGAATTTTCCTAGTGCTCCAACAGCTTTGAAAGATTTTGTTCAGTGGTCCCACGATCACGTCTGCCAGCTCTTTCAGAATTCTGGGATGTGATCCATCTAGTCCTGGCAATTTGAACTCGTCTAGAGTGGATAGATGTTCTCTCACCACTTTCTTGCCTATTTTGATTTGTATTCCTGTTCTGTCTTCTATGGTACTGTTTTTGATAGGTTGGACTCTTTTTCCCTTTTGTGTAAAGACGGATGCAAATAATCAATTAAACAGTTCCACTTTCTCCCTGTTACTCATCACCACCTTTCCATCTTCTCCCATTAGTGGCTGATAGTTTCTTTGACATTTTTCTTGTTTTTCACATGTTGAAAGAAACTTTTAAAATTATTTTTGGCATTTCTTCAAATGCCAATTGTGTTTGGTTTAAAGATGATTTCTAGACCTGAAAAGATTGTAGAGTCTTGCCTGTTTCATTTGGCAACATCCTAATTATACAGCTCTGAATTTTGAAATCTATAGAACAGTTAGTTTTGAATAATATTGTCATTCAAAGTGTAGGAGGGGGCACCAAATTTTTTTTTTATATTTTAGGCTTAATGTAGAATTAAGGTACTGTTAGATTCAGTTGCTAAGTAGAAATGAATTTTTCCCAGGGTTCAGAAACAGAGCTCTTGATGATAGGAAGAGGGAATCCAATTGAAATGGTAAAATGCGTGGCTTAGGCAGATATTCTAACTATATCAAAATAATATTACAAAGTAGTAATAAGAAGCCTGTATTTTATTTTTTATATATTTACAGAAGATATCAAACGGAATGGTGTATATAATATTATCCAATTATTTCCTAGGAGAGAGCTATGAGGATGCAGAAGAGAATGCCTCTTTGGATGCTGATGAAGTGACTACTGAAGAGCCATGCCCAGTACAGATAGTTCTCGCTCATGAAGATGACCATAATTTTGAACTGGATGAATCAGCATTGGAGAGAATCTTGCTTCAGGAGCATATAAGAGACCTCAACATAGTAGTAGTTTCTGTTGCTGGTGCATTCCGTAAAGGCAAATCATTTCTCTTGGATTTCATGCTTAGGTATATGTATAACAAGGTGGGTAACTGAACTACTTTGAGAATAATTAACAAAAGTGTATTCCTCTTAAGATTTGTTTTATTGTGTTCCAAATTGTGTAAGGATTTCATATTTCTAAACATTATTGAGGGAATTTGAGGTATATATAATTAACATAGCTAATTAATGTTAATATTAATTAACATTATATTTGGTAACCATATAATAGAACTAAAAAGCGAAACAGTATACGTATGCCAGGAACTATTTGTAACTACCGTGTTTTCAGGAAAATAAGACCTACCCTGAAAATAAGCCCTACTTAAGAGCCTACGCAGCCGTCCAGCCGCCCATTCCGTCTGGTTGCTACACATGAGATGAGGTGGGGAGGGGAGCTGCCCCACGTGCCCCGCACCTGCTTAATTTGCCGCAGGGCACCTGCAGCCAGGCTTCCCATGCCCCAATACCTGTTGTATCTTGCAACGGCTGCACCAACAGCCCCGTCAAGGAGCCTGGCTGCCGCTCCACTTCTTCTGCGGCCGCTTGCTGCTGCTTACGTCCATCATCCCTGGCCTCTGTTTCACCGGCAGATGCTTTCAGAAAAGGCCTCTGGAGCCCAGAATGGAGCTCCAGGACGATGTGCGCATCATCCCCACCATCTCTGTTTCACTGGCAGAGGTGATTATTTGAACTTACAACAGTTCTGAATGAGAGGCTTGAGTTGTGCTTGTGTTTATGTCAATTGTAGTGACCCTGTGGTCATATGATCTCCATTCACAAGCTTTTTTGTTGGTTTCCTATCAGCAAAGTCAATGGAAAAGCAGGCAGGATGTTGTAAATGCAAAGATGCAACTATGTGAATCCTTAATGATCTGCTATGATTTGCTAACAGTCGCAACTGGGAGGGCTGGAATTTCTGTTGTTAAGCTGTAGAGCCACATGACATCGTGTTTTACAGCCACATTACTTAAGGCAGAAACTCAATCCCAATTACTGTTATTAAGTGAGGATTATCTGTAACCTAAATTGTTACTCCCATTAAGACATCTATTAACTTTCAAATAGACTACACTTCCTTTGACTTACCCTATCTCTTCTGAGTGTCATAAAGACTGTGAAGGATATGTTTTTCAGGTTCTTTGCCAATATTATCAGGAAAGAATTAAATTAAAGCAAAGGGGAAATGATGTCAAAAGTCCAAAACTAAATGTACTGTGAAGGACTAAGGTCAATAATGCAGGAGATAGAGGGAGAAGTATGGAGGTGGAAAGATACACAAATAGAGCAAAATCCATTAAAAATTGCATGCATTGCTCAATTTTTAGGCTTTATAAAGCATGTACCCTTTGTATAATAATATTAAAAATGGTTGTCATAATTTTTTTCATAAACAGGACTAAAAATAGAACTAGAATAGTTTGTGAGTTAAGTGTGATAATTTTTAGTCCTCAGAATTATGACCACTTGTAACTAAAATCATGAGCGTGCTTTAACGAGGGGGACTTTAAATCAGTCCCTGAAGCTGCAACCACTGCAGTATCACCATAGTTATATGATTGCAATCTGTGCATTCAGGTACCCAGTTTGTGATTATGGCATAGCAGCTATACTGGACTTAATCCTTACAAATAGAGAAGAAGTGATAGAGGGAATTGAAATTGCTGGAACCTTGGGTGAAAGTCACCACATCATACTGGAATTTAATATACTGCAAACACTAACAATAGAAAACAATCTTAAACTTCAAAAGAGCTGACTTTAATAAACTCAGAGAGAACCTAGGAAAGATCCCATGGATGAAAATCCTAAAGGGGAAAAAAACCCAAGAAGCGTGGGAAACCCTGAAAAATGCGATTATAAAAACCCAGACCAGCACAATACCATTGAGAGAAAAAAACAAGAAATCCAAGAAGAAATCAGCATGGCTGCAGAAAGATTTCTCTGACAAACTGAAAGACAAAAAGGACAAATACAAAAAATGGAACGAGGGGCACATAACTAAGGCTGATTATCAGCAGACAGCCAGGATATGCAAAGATGAAGTCAGGAAAGCAAAGGCTCAGAACGAACAAAGATTTGCAACAGAAATCAAGGATAATAAAAAAGTTTCTTCCAACATATTAACAGCAAGAAAAAAGTCAAGGAAACTAGGTCCACTAAAGAGAGACGATGGCAAGGAAATAAAAGGAACAGAGAGAAAACAGCTGCTTAACTCATATTTTGCATCAGTCTTCACACAAAAAGAAACTGTAGCCCAACATACCAAAAAAACCACTGCAAAAGACATACTAGAAACAAAAATTGAAATAAGCAAGAAAATGGTAAGAGAACACCTACCTGACCTTGACAAATATAAATCACCGGGATCCGACAGATTACATTGCAGAGTTCTGAAAGAGCTGGCAGATGTTATCTCAGAACCATTGCACCACATCTTTCATAAATCCTGGAGCACTGGGGGAAGTATCTGAGGATTGGAAAAGGGCTGATGTGGTTCCCATCTTCAAGAAAGGGAAAAAAAACGGACCCAGGAAACTACAGACCAATCAGTTTAACATCAATACCTGGGAATATCCTAGAAAAGACAATAAAAAAACAGATCTGCAAACAACTAGAAGCAAACAAAGTCATAACCAGTAGCCAGTATGGGTTTGTTAAAAACAGATCGTGCCAAACCAATCTTATTTCATTCTTTGATAAAGTGACTAAACTAGTAGACCAGCAAAATATTGTGAACACAGTATATTTAGATTTCAATAAGGCATTTGATAAAGTAGACTACAACCTACTCCTTGGTAAGCTAGAAAAAGATGGAATAGACAACATCACCACCAGATGGATCTGTAGCTGGCTGGCAAACCGTACTCAACGAGTAGTCCTCAATGGCACTACATCCACATGGAGAGAAGTAAGCAGTGGGGACACAAGGCTCCGTCTTAGGCCCAGTACTCTTCAATATCTTCCTCAATGACTTAGATGAGGGAATTGAAGGGGAACTTGTTAAATTTGCAGATGACACCAAACTGACAGGAGTAGCCAAGACAAACTCAGGATCCAAAAAGATTTAGACAAACTTGAACAATGGGCCCTATTCAACAAAATGAGTTTCAATGTGGACAAAAGCAAAGTTTTACATTTAGAAAAATCAAAGGTAAAGTACAGATTGGGCAAGACCTGGTTTAAAAACAGTAACTGTGAGAGGGACCTTGAAGTCCTAGTGGATGATCACTTGACTATGAGCCAGCAATGTGTAGCAGCAACCAAAAAGGCTAATACAATCCTGGGTTGTATAAAAAGAGGCATAGAATCAAGATCATGTGAAGTAGTAGTACCATTTTATAAAACCCTAGTAAGACCACACCTAGAATACTGCAACCAATTTTGTTCACCATATCACAAAAAAGATGTTGAGAGTTTGGAAAAAGTTCAGAAAAGAGCAACTAAGATGATCAAAGGCCTGGAGACTAAAACATACGAAGAACGGCTGCAGGACTTGGGTTTGGTTAGTCTAAAGAAAGAAGAAATAGGGGAGACATGATAGCAGTATTCCAGTATCTGAGGGGCTGCCACAAGGAAGAGGGGGTCACTTTGTTAACCAGAGCACCAGAGGGAAGGATGAGAAACAATGGTTGGAAATTGATCAAAGAGAGAAGCAACCTGGAATTAAGGAGAAACTTCCTGACAGTGAGGACAATCAACCAGTGGAACAGCTTGCCTCCAGAAATCGTGGGTGCTCCATCACTGGAGATTTTTAAGAAGAGACTAGACAATCACCTGTCTGAGATGGTATAGGTTCTCCTGCTTGAGCAGGGGGCTGGACTAGAAGACCTCCAAGGTCTCTTCCAGCTCTATTCTATTCTCTATATGATTGCCATGTGTGACTTTCCCTGCCGGCTTCGCACAAGCAAAGTCAACAGGGAAGTTGGCAGGCAAGGTTGCAATTATACCTATAAATTGCTGTCACCATGTCTTCTCTCAAGGAGCCCCAATATGGAGTACAAGATCCCATGGATCTCATTCTCTTTAACAACTGGCAATAGCTAGCAACAGCTGCTGACCCAGCCGTACTTGGAAGTGCTGTCCATGGCCTCCACTGGCCCATAGCCTTAGAAGCTGGCCCTCCTGCAGTCATACTGATGTTCATGAGCCATAGAACCTGCCCTTGGCACCCGCATGCATTCTGTAGTGCCAAACTGTACGCCCACACTTAATGACAGCAAAGTCCTGGGTTTGCGACACTGCCATTGCTAAGTGATGCAGCGTGACATTGCGCTTTAATTTGCACCAATTAACAACAGAATTTAGATCCCCATTGCCGTTGTAACACAAGGATTACTTGTTAGTAATGACTCAGGTTTTTCATATTAGTCAAAATTAAGCATACAATATTAATGCATGATTGCCTTGGGCCTCCCACATTATTAAATATATACGTATATGCGTGTGTTCTGTTATAGGAGTCATCTTCTTGGATAGGTGGAAGTAGTGAACCTTTGACTGGCTTTACGTGGAGAGGAGGGTGTGAGAGAGAAACAACTGGCATTCAGATTTGGAGTGAAGTATTCATAATTCCCAAACCTGATGGGACAAAGGTAATCCATTAAGCATCTGACATAATGCTTATTGACTTACTGAACAGAGCAAGCAAAAAGTGAATGCAAAATATTTTGATCCCTCTTCCTGATATGAGTTGATGTGATGTTTTAGATACCTCTGAAATAGATTGTCAGGATTCTCCAGGCATGGAATTTCATGGACTCAGCATGGCTAGATTGCAGACAGAAATAAGTTTTCCATACATGTACAGTCTACCTCCTGCTGTTTGAACTTGGCTGTTCTTTTCCTAGCTATAGCAACAGCAATACTTTTTACATAATGGCCTGAGAATCATTGACTCATCAGTTTCAGCCTTACTGTATACTTGTTTAGTGTTATAACTAATTGTAATGTTAAGAATGTCTAATATTATATGCAGTATAATAGATGGAATTGAACTTTTGAAAATACCCAGTAACATTTACTCTCAGAATGATTTGTTTTTAACTCACTTTTATTATTTTTGTACATAACCCAAGGCAGCAAATATGCCCCTTCCTCCTCCTACTTTCCTTACAACAACCCTGTGAGGTAGGTTTGGTTAAGAGAGAGTGACTGACCCAGTTGGCTTTCATGCCTAAAGTGAAACTAGAGCTCACATTCTTCTGGTTCTGTCCTGCTGCCTTAATCATTAGATAAATAAAGCTGTGTGGTCCATCTCCCCTTCAGAGAAATATATACAGATATACATACTGTATGTTAAATTATGCCATACTTTTGTATACAAGGTTTGACATTATTTCCATCCATCCATAGGAGGAATTTTTTTCTCTTTTTATATAATGTATATCCTATGTGGTATTTTCAGTTACATTGACCACCTAAAGGTAATCAAACCACCTTTGATTAGTTTCCTAGTGAGATGTTATTCTGTGGTGCTCAGAGTCTCAACCAGGAACTGATAATACCTAATAAGGATTAAAGCAATCCAGTACTGCCTCTTGGTGGTCTATATAGCTAGTAATATTTACTAGCATAAACATGCTTCTTATACCCAACCACACCATATAGCATTATGCACATTTTCACTTGTGAGTTTTTTTGCTTCATATTCAAAAAAATGAATACTGAGCTATTTGGTCACTTTTTAAACTTTTGACTGTTAATTAAAGTGGTTGTGAAAGTAAATGTACATTATCTGGTGACTGAATGGAGGGAATCAAAATATAGTGAAACACTGCTTTCAAATTTAAAGTGAAAGAATTGTTAATTCATTCTTTTTTTCTTAAAAAAAAACCTCTGTAGGTTGCTGTATTACTAATGGATACCCAAGGTGCTTTTGATAGTCAATCAACTATCAAAGACTGTGCAACCGTATTTGCTTTAAGCACCATGACAAGTTCAGTCCAGGTAAGTGTGTAGTCATATCAGATGATGGTAGACTTTAAATATTTTCCCTATTTCAAAATACATATGTCACCTGAAAACATAATAGTAAAACCATTTATTGCTTTCTTGTTTTATGTTATTTTGATTATTACAGCATAGAAATATGTTTAATATATAAATCATGTATTATAGAAAGAACCATTATGCTTAATCTTTCGGTTGTATTACAGCTTTCAGACACTTAGAACATTAAGCTTCAAATATAATAATCTGAAGTATGATACAGATTTTAAAAGTTCTTTGTCTAGCTTTGAAAAGCCAATGCAGTGTAGAAGTGGATGATCTTGATTAAAACGGGGAAAACCAGGATACAAATATCCATTCAGTCCATATTTTTAATTTCAGTCTAATATAATTTATATATTTAAAAGGATAAAATAGGATCTGAAGTTCAAATAGTTAATGAATGAGTGGTTAGTAAATGATAATCACCTGTACAGGTTTTTCTGGAATGGAATCTATTAGCAAATGCATGGGCATTGTGTCTATGTATAAATTTAATTTAACTAATTTAACTATTTTGGAATTTAATAAGTCTCTCTGCACAGGTGCATAGGCAGATGGTCCTCACTTAAATGACCACTCATTCAACAACCATATGGACTTACAACAATGAATGAGTGGTACTTAAGACTGGTCCCTTAAGTTGCATCTGTTGCCGTGTCCTACAGTCACCTTTGCAATCTTCCTGTCAGCTTCCCACAAGAAAGTCAGCGGGCAAGCTGGCAGGAAGTCCTCTCTTAATGACCTTTGGTAATTTACTTAGTGATGATAGCCGGAGACTGGCAGAATTGCCATCACTAAGTGGCACATTCACATGACATTGCACTTTAGAGCCACATCACTTTAGTGACAGAAATGCTGGTCTCAAATATCATTATTAACAGGGACTATACTCCAGCTTGGAATCAATTTCTCCCTAATAATATATTGATTATTTATTGATTATTAATAATATATTGATCATTGATTATTAATAATATATTGATCATTGATTATTAATAATATATTGATTAATTTCTCCTTAATAATATATTGATTATTTGAGCGAAGCCTGACTCCTAGTGATTGTATGTACAGATGACCTTCATCTTCAATATCCCTAGTGACAGTTCACAACTATTTCAGGGACTTTGGAAGCACAGTCATTTTTTCTACTACAGTGGATTAATACTCACTTGTAGGCTCTTCATAATAACTACACTGTGTGCTTTCTCCAGATTTCAAGACCTTGGGCTGTATGTGAAAGTTATTAGTTCACTCCAATCTGAAATGTTCACTATTGTCAATAAAATCCATATATATTTATTGCTGGTAGGATATTAAAATGTTCAAGAAGAAAAATAATGTTCTTTACCAGGTTCTCTGGTAATAAAATGAGATACAGTTAGCAAACTAATTTAAAATAAAACCCTGGCTTGCTACTTCTGGGTATTTAAACGTTTTTAAATTGAGCATCTTTACTAGTGACATCCAATGTTAATTACAAGATCTAGTCTAAATGTCGTCTTCCGTTTTATTTTGCTGGGATTTTCTGATTGCTACGGTTGACCAGAAAACTCTGTCATCATAAGCATTCAGCTTTAATTATGTCTACAGTAGTTCTCACTTAACACCCCTAATTGGGACTAGCAATTCCACTGCTAAGTTAAGTAGTGGCTAACATGGGAAATCCTGTGACTGTTTTCCCATTGGAAAAAGACAAAACTAGGCAGTTTCACTCCTTCAGTTTTTGTTTGTCTCCTAACCACTCTCCTGGCTCTTTAGAATGCTGGAGTGCCTGCTTACTGTCTATTGCACATTAAAAGCAATGTTATTATGACAGTAGACTGGGATTGGGAGTTACGAGCATGCTATGCAAGCAAGTTACAGCAATCTTGTGAAATCTCTTCTCCAGTCTCTCCATTCCACTCTACCAGGCAGAGGGGGGGGGGAGGGAAAGTAAAACTTTCCAGACCCTTTCCAGACCATTTTCCAGACCCTTCATCTCCTCTCACAGAGAGATTGAAGAGGGAACACTTTTTTTAGAAAAGTGTTATTAACTTTCAGTTCCAATTAGAGATTGAGGGAACTCTCCACCTAAGATGCTGTTTAGTTTGGTTGGCAAACTATTAAAAATCTAAAAGCAAATCACCTAATGTTTAATTAGGGTTTGGGTCGTATGGTTGTTGCCACTGGGGGATGGAGTGGCTATTTATGGGCTTTTACATTGTGAATTTTTAATATCGTAGCTACCCAGATTCAATATATGTGAATTGGGCAGCCATATAAATTTGTTTAATAAATTAATAAATGTGAAAACTATTATATTTTATAGGTATACAATCTATCACAGAACATCCAAGAAGATGATCTTCAGCATTTGCAAGTAAATATATTCTGATTCTATAGTAACTCCCATTACTAATATTTTAATAAGCTCTTTGCACATGAAAGGTGTCAAGGGTCAAAAACATACTTTGACAACATTTGTGCCTTCATGGGCTCAATTTTGAAAGGTTCCCTATTAAGGGGACTCTTTAGGGAATGCAGGAAGTTGATAGAAGTAAGATGATGGGGCTAAATCCTCTTTAAAAACTTTGTGTACATGATTTTTAATTACTGTTACTTGAAATGCACTTACACC